CGGGGAGGACCTGGACCCCTCCGCCCTCCCGCCTCTCCGGTTTGTGTGCAAGTTTATCCGGGAGAAGTGGGAACGTGAAAGCCGTGCCCCAAGAGTAATTCGGTTTGGCTGCAAGGCAGTTGAGGAACAGCTTGTTTTGGGTCGAGAGATTTGGATCCCGAGGAACTTCTTCGCTGGGAGCTTCCGTACAAGCCAGAATAAATCCTTCTGTGGGACAGATTTATAGGGTTGATTCATAATGTGTGTCACATCCATGAGACCGTTAGTAGACTACAGGCATTTTTTAAGGCTGTTGTCAGGTTTGGGTTCTTTTTTTTGACACTCAGTAAAAGGCATTGGAATTGGTTGCCAAACCACAAAATTAGCTTCAGTAGCAGGCTGACCAAGCCTAGAGGTCTCCAGCCACTGGAAACTACGTGTATTTAAAACCAACATCACTCTACTTCAATCATGTGACTTGTTTCAGATAAAATTTATTCTTAGGCAGAAAACTGACACAAAGCTCAGGTGCCACACAATTTTTAATTTTCTCTGCAAACATACTTATGAGGACATGATGGTGCTCATCTTTGGGGTGGCAGGGGTTAGCTTCACTTTTAAAAACTGGGTGGTTGTTAAAGTTACTGCTTCAAGTTGCACTTCTCATGTTGCAATCACCTAAGCTGTGCAGGCCCTCCTCCTTTCTCTGTTGTTAAATACATGTACCCACAGTGACATGAACAATAACCTTTGAGGTCATTCTTAAAATATGAAGGGCAAGGAAGTAGCTTTAATGGTCTCTCTAATATAGAGCTCTCCAAATGCCATGCATGGAAATGAAACATTTGCAATGCAAGATTAGGAAGATTTATAATACTTAGTACTGAATGACTATAGTATGGTCATGGTCAGGGCCTCTTCTTACATTCTGGTATGTGTAAGAGTGATGATTTTTTGTTAGGAGTAAACAAGGCAACACAATCATCATAATAAAGCAGATCCAGTGACGCAGGTTTTAACTTTTTTCCTGTCTGGGCTTTCTTTTAGAGATGTTACAAGATTATGTTGGTATATAACATTTTAAAACTTGCTCTCCTTTTAAACCTGTAACAAACTGCTTAGAAGTAACCTGTGAACTTCAGAATTCATTCACTGTTCAACCACCAGTTCAGCATAAATCCATTTGTCATCACAGGTGTAACCTGAGAACAAGTGTTCTAATTCTGTTCAACAAAATGTAGACATCTAGATTGAAGTGCCACATGACACAGTTAGTTTCCTATCATAGCAATCACTGAGAAAGATATGCATTAGGGAGCAGATTATCTCATTCTGAGTCACAAACTCAAAGTCCATCACATGGGTTGAACTCCATTCTGTTTGTTGTGAGGGTAGAGTCAGTCAAGAGAAACCTTTGTTGCAAAGTAAGAGGGTGGAGTGACATGATGCTGTGTTAAACTGTTGCATAGGCAGCAGGTCCTCCATCTGGGGGGAAAAAAATAAGAGTCATGGGGCTGAGAATCTGGAAGGTGAAGGCAGATGTCAGAAAAAGATGGCTCCAGAAAGCAAGAGCAGCTGGAACATAGAGAGAAGAGATATGTAAGGATAGAAGATGAGGTCTGTGCTAACTAGTTCTTCAAAACAGCTGGACTAGAAATATGAAAGGTTCATTAAAAAAAGTGTGAGGCAGCCCAAGTTGCATAGTGAGATTAGGGGTAGCCAAGAAGAATTTCTTGGGGTTTTGGCACAAGGAAGGATCCTGAATCTTGAATAAATTGTCCACCACACAATATAAGGGGGGTAACACTAAGGGCAACACAAGGGAGACTTCAAAACACAGAGGACCTGTGGTCCCAAACAAGCATATCAGAAGAAGTGATTACTCTTAGGGAAATAAATAGCTTTCCTTGACATTTTTTCTCTTCATACTTATGTACTGCTGTGCCCCATGAGGGAAGGGTAGAAGGAGAGTGTAAGTGAAGTACAAGCACAAGAGGATTCATGTACCTTGTTAAAGTTAACAGCAGACTGACTAGAACTTTCACTAGAAAATGAGAGAGGCAAGACAATTTCACTGATTTTCTGATTTAGATCAAAGATGGGAACCATCTCCAGGTTTGGGAAACTCTAGTATAAAGTTCTTGAGAATTATGGCACAGAGCTCTTTCATTTTCTCCTGTTTGAATTATGTAAGTATCATGGCTAAGAAAATAAGTGGTGAAATACTCAGCTTTGTTGGTGGTGACTGTTGGTGGATTCTGTATTCCAAGTCTTTAGGGTTTTTTTTCCAAATTAGATACTATTCAAGACGGACCAAGGACCACTGTTTAGTGAATTGGATCCACTAAGTCCATTCCCAGATCAAGATCATCTTTTTGGAGACTCCTACTTTGACATTCTCAGTTTTTGATATCATCTGCAGGTCTGGACAGTTCTCTGCTGTGAGGGGATGGTTGGGTGCACATGGACAAGGAGCCAGGAACTTGAGTGCAGACATGGGACACAGTTAAATGCTATTGAAGAGGAATTTGTTGGTGTGTAAGCAGCATTTGGGGAAGTTGCCATCTATTTCTTTTGAGGCTATGTGCCTTGAAATTCACAGTTGTGAACCAGGTGAGGCTGATGCGTGACTCCCGTGATTTTGAACCCTTTCCTTGGAACGGGAGAGGGTTTTGGGAAGTCTGACGCTGAGAAATCTCACTAATGGAGTCTGAGGTAGAGATTGGGTTAGAAGAATTACATCTAATTACATCTAATTAGTTGATTAGATGGGTTAAGATATTGTCCTCACTAAGGTCATTAACGTCTCTCAATTATTTCAGTGGAATGAGGATTTCAGCACGGGGCCAGAAGTTGTCAGTAGCAAAAACATTTCAGTAATTAATGTGTTTACTGACTGTCTTGAAATCTGTATATATGCAATATCAACCTGTTCTGCATAATGTGAACTTCAGCACTGTAGGATTTTCCAATATTTCTACAACACAGGAGAAATAATCTACAAGGTATGCCTACCCCTGTGCAGAGGCCAGCACAAGATTTATGTATTGCTTGAGAAACTGTGATAGATGCTACTAAAGTGCATCCTTTTCAAAGGGCTCAAGGAATTTTTTCAAGGGAACTTTCTTGCCTGTGCAGTAGATTTGTGCAACTTTGGAGCAATGTTTAAGTAGGACTTATATAATACAGAGACCTGTGTAGGACCCCTGCACAATAGAGAATGTCACCTGCAATATATTTGGTTCTTATCCTTAGTGAAGTGTTTTCAGAGTAAAGACATTTGTTGGCAGCATCTGGCTCCTGGGTTGGCTCTCAATACAAACATAAATTTCACCCCACACTGAAAATCTCT